CGTGAACCCTCCTCGAGCGTCTAGTTTGATATTTTTTCAGATCTTCACATTCAAATGCTTTCTGGAGAGGAGCCAAAGACTGTAGAATAAAATGAGGAGAGAAAATGGAAAGGTATAGAACAAACAGTGGCTCGCAAGAAGAGGCTTGAGTTGGATTTCGAGTTGGATTTTCGAGTTAGGATTTTCGAGTTAGGCTCCGTCTCGCAGGCTCGCACATTAGTTACTTTCAGTAGTAAAAGTATGAGCAAGTTGGAATTTCGTTTTGTAAGTATAACTTAATGGGCTAGACTTAAGAAGGTTGGAACCCATCACTTTCATTTTTTATTGCTTTCTTATGTTGGTTTGTATTATTCTTTGTTTGAGAATTATAATACAAGTAATTTATCTTGGAAAAAAGTAAAACAGAAACAAAAGTATAGTTCAACATCATTTTGATGTAAATTAATTTTGTAACCATGACAAATAAACTATAAATGTGCAATTCAAATCACATGTAATAGATATTTCATGTTTTAAATTATCATTTTGAGATCACTGAGAATTTTAGTCATCACATAGAATAAGCTAACGTGGCAAGATTAACTGAAACAAGAAATATGTGGCAATAATTTTCATGGCAGCAAAAATTTTATGTAGTTTATCTATTCATTGCAGCTCTATATTGTTTGATGTCATTGCTAAATCATATTTAAATGGTCAATTAGCTAAGGGGTGATAAAAAAAAGATAAAAGAATTTAAATTAACCGTTTTTTACAATTCAGCAGATGTTGAATTGAACATGAAGGTTGAGGTCAAAGACTTGAAACCTTAAGAACCAAATATGAAGACTACAACCTTAGCAACAGAGTCTGGAGGATGCCAAGAGGTTCACTGCCAGAGGGTATCTGCTACATTGCCTACAGAAGGAGGTGTGTCTCAGTCAGAAACAGAAGATCCTCAAGCACTCAAAGAGAGAGTCCTGTGCTCAATTGCCATGAATTATCTCAAGACCACATCTGACCACAGTCAAGTGAAGAGCATAACAAGTTTAAGGAATACTCGAGAGAAATGAGGGTCATCATTACAGGTATCCTTGTACGAAGTTTGGTGATAACAGGGAAGTGTGATTCTCTCCAAATCTTGGAGGAATTGTGGACAGATTATTCATCTGGTCATCTTGGTGAAATGGTTCAAAATTGTTTTGTAACTGAAAAGATCTTGAAGGAACTGAACCTAACTGAGCTGGAGCTGAAAACAACAGTGGACATAGAAGAATATAATACAAGGAAAGTTTACATTGAGAGTGTTGCACTCAGAGGTTAGTCATGTCAGGAATCTTCTGATTGCTTCTTACCACAAGAGATTTTCCCAATAATATTCATGTTAATCACTTCACAATTTAATGTTTAAGCACAAGGATCATTACAACTGCTAGATCTCTGCTTTTGACTTGCACATGGTTTGTTGAAATCCTAAACTTATATCATGTGATTACAGCTTATCACTAAGCAACTAGAACAAACGAACAATGTTCACTTTTGTAAAGTGACAGTCACACAGTCCATTTTTCCAAACAGTCAACAGAATGTTACAATACGTACGTTTCCACAAAATATGTGAAAAATTTTTTCACACATCCCATCACTCTTTCATCATAGAGTACCATAGGGTTTTAAGATATATGTATAGTTTCTGATGAAAACAGAACTCATTGTCACATTGAATATGCTTGTGTTGACTTTGTAAATTCTGGCAATGTTAGAGGTGATTTGTTTACAAGATATTGGTCTGCCTCAGTCTATGGTTTGACGATGAATTGGTTGAACTCTCTTCATTTGATTGTTTGTGTTTTGTCTAATATATTCATTTATTTGTTTGCTTGTTTTTTAATAACCATGGTGCCAGCAACCTGCCATTATTGCTTTAAAGGTGCTTATTTTCTTTAGGTTTTGTTTTATTTTCTTTGTAATTATTCTTAAAATTAATGTGGAAATGGGGTGAGCAAATAGTTTTGGTCAACCATGATTTTGGTGGAGGGATTATGAATGTGAGGTATCTGTAGAATTATTGGATCTCTGCCGTACATTCAAATCTTGATTATTTGGACCTTGATTATCTGTACTCTTCGTCCATTCCTCACAAGTCTGGATATTTAAGGTTTAACTGTAATTTGAAAGTGCAGTTCTTACTGAATGATAAACACAAGTTTGTTTTCTGCTCTCTTTTGATCAAGATGTTTTGTACTCTCAATCATACTTCATAAATTCTGAAGGTCAGGCACATTTGGAAAAAAGAGAACAGAAGGCAGAGGTTGAGGAGTCAGAGAAAATGAAAGGTAATTACAAGAATCTGATTAAAAATTGTTATTGAGAAATTTAATAAAGTGCAAATTTTAGCATGGAAAACCCTATGCAGTCAACCCTTGATTTTGATTTTTTGGAGTCTTGATTATACAGACTTTTCACCCAGTCCTAACATAAGTCCCATTATAGTTCACCGCTAAATTTTCTCTGGTTCTTATAGGTTTAAATCGATCACGTGACGCGATAGTGTTCATCCGTGGAGAGACACTATCAGCCCATAGTGCCGGCCCGTGGATGGATAGTGCCCGTCCGCGGAAAACACCTGGATTGATAGTACTCATCCATGAAAAGTTTTGAATAGTTTGATGGCCGTGAAGTTAGGCATATCGGAAAAACAGTGACTTTTCAATTCTGACAGGTTTAATGTATTATTTAGCCAATGTACGGTTGCGATCATTGACATTTGTGACAAGCTGTAGACGCGGAAGAAAATTTAGTGGTGAACAATAAAAACAATAAGAACAATAAGAACAATTAAAACAATAGAATGTTTATGTCTAGGAACTATCGGTCTGATAGTTGCCCCTTGGAAATTTTATGTTCTTAAAACTAGCATATTTGCCCTCAAAGCTTCGCTTCTCAGGCAAACATTTGTTTTAAGAACATCAAATTTCCACGGGGCAACTATCAGCCGATAGTTCCTCGACAGAAACACTCTATTGTTTAAATATTCAAGGTTCAAATGTATATTGAAATTGCAGTTTTTAGTGAATGGTAAACACAAGTTTGTCGTCTGTTCTTTTTTACTGACTCAAGGTACTCTGTTCACTGAGTCATACATTATAAGTTCTGAAGATCAAGCACTTGTGGAAAAAAGGAAACAGACTAGAGAGGTTGGGGAGTCGGAGAAAATGAAAGGTAATTACAAGAGTCTGATTAAAAATTGTTATTGAGAAATTTGTTAATGCAGGAATTTTAGCTTGGGTTTTTATATCTATCTATCTATCTATCTATCCATCTATCTATTCATCTATCCATCTATCCATCTATCTGTCTATCCATCTATCTATCCATCTATCTATCTATCTATGGTTACCCATAGCTTGAGTGTTCTGAGAAGGGTTAAACCTTTTCTAAAAACAGAAAACCTAATTGACATTTACAGGTCAATAATTGAGCCTTACTTTACATATTACAGAAAACCTAATTGACATTTACAGGTCAATAATTGAGCCTTATATTACTTTACATATTGTTGCATTGTTTGGGATAGTATAAGTGAAACACAAATTGTTAATTTGCAAAAGCTCCAAAACCGTGCAGCGCGAATAATAACTGGTGCTTCCTATTTGCAGAGATCTAGTGATGTTCTCTGTAAATTAGGCTGGATGACATTAGAAACAATGTGAAGGTGTAGTCTGATAGTCCGGGTGAGTGTAGTCCTGAGAAGGACTGTTGTCGGTGGTAGTGACTGACGTTTCGACAACCTGTGCGGAAGTCATCATCAGAGTCAAGTCTGAAGTAAGTTGACTTCGGTCGTGTATCTTTAATAGATCCTTAGTTGGGTTTCATATGGGGTCAGTATAGGCTTCCCCTACCCTGTCACCTTGAAAATTAAGTTTCCCGGGAGACCACGTCTCCGATCACGTAAATCACATCTTCGATTGCCGTGTTGCCAGCATGGTTGTCCTGATAGTGTAGTGGTCATCACACCTGACTGGTAACTGGGGGACGTGGGTTCAAATCCCGCTCAGGGCAAATTTTTTTTTCAAACATTTATTTTATTTATATATATATATATATATAAAATGTTGCTTGCATTAATCAGATCGCTGCATTAGGGTATGTATTTCACACCAATCGGATAGCCGCATTAACGTATGTATTTTGCGCCAATCATATTGTCGCATTAGCCTATGTATCTCACACCAATCAGATCACAGCAAAGGGATATGGTTTGCACCAATCAGAGTGTCAGGGTATTGTCCCTCATGTCAATCATCTCATGGAATTAGGGTGCTGCAAAATGTTGCTATGGAATCAACCCAACTTTGACGTACTCTGAGAATGACATTGACAAAGAACTGTGAGGTCATCTACTCAGTGTGATGGTTCATGTCCTTCGTGACGACTTCGTCGCTATTATTTGTCGAGCTTAGAAAGGTCTGAAGGGAATTTTTATACCATTTAAAAGTTGAAACGTGCTTTGTGTACCGCGCAGCTTACGACGTCATGTCACGTAACGGGGAGAGAGAACGCGTTGCGTGACGAGACTTAACAAAGGCTGAGAAAGACTCTACAGTAAGTTGTGGCACCAATGCAGTCTATTTTTGCGTACAATTATTCAGATACCTGTTACAATAAACCACAAAAACGCCTGTGTCAGAGTTAATTTCAGATAAAGTGGAAGGGTTTTTTTGGGCTCTTTTTTGAACCATATTTTCGTTGGAACCTTTTGAAGTTAATGCTCCTTTTCAAAAATGCAAACATCTGTTACTTAGTGTACCTTCTCAACCCACCCCACACAAAAAATAACTCTTGCAAGCGTAACATGTCTATTTCGATCATAACAATAGTAACACGACAACATAAAGCACACTCGGAAAAGTAAAAATGTTACGGTGGATGGGTAATATTAGTTTTAAATCCCCGGTCATGCATTACTTAAGAATACTATGTTGACACATAGAGTAAAAAAGTGGAGCATTTTTTAATACCTTTGGATTCTTCTCGTTGTCGTTCACGTTTGTCGAAGTTTTTCGCCCATTTTTTCTTCTTCGAGGACATGGTGCTAAAAGAAGAGTGATGTAAAATAATTGTAGCCCTTTACAAAGCTAAACCTGCGACTAACCTTTATCCATCATATTACAGTTGTAGTCTATTATTACGTATATGTGCACGATCCTTCGCAGTAAAGCACTATTTAAGCAATAGTGAAAATCAGACCTGAAAAAAATTCAGGCCTGTACGGGATTCGAACCACTGACCTCTGCGATACTAGTGCAGCGCTCTACCAATTGAGCTAACAAGCCAACTGGGAGCAGGCCATCAAATTAATTCGACATAAACCCGTAAGATGATAAATCAAACAACAAACATATGAAATACATATATATGAACTGCGGTTATGAAACGTATATGTGCACGATCCTTCGCAGTAAAGCACTATTTAAGCAAAGTCTATTATTATTGAGTTATTTAGCCGCGGGTAAAAACTCGTGGGAAAAAAGATAAGAACTGACAGATCGAGTACAAATTTGTCGGGTTTTAAAACACTAGAAAGCTCTAAAAAGTCATCGTCACTTGAAGCTTGAAGAAAGCTGGGGCTTTTTCGGAAGCCTTCAGAAATTTCTAAATTATACTAACTAATGTTTCGTCCTTGTTTTGCCGCTGGTACAAATTTCTGTGGACTTTTCAGGGGTTACGAAAATAGGGGTGGGCAGACCGCGAAATCTGCGAGGCTTGTCGCCATAAAGAAGAGAATGTATAAAATTATAGCAACTTTGAGTTGTAATTTAACTACCTTGACGTTTTTCCAGAAAACCTTCACCTATGCAAGCCGTGATTTTAACTAAAATCCACGCTCACAATAGAAGGGCCACCAACTGGGGTGAGCTAGGAGGTATGATGATATCACCGCACAACCTTATTTCATTTGTCAATATGGCGGTGTAGATAGTAAATTTAGGGAATTTGAGTTAGTTTATCATTAAAACAATGGCCACATACTTGATTCTATTCTACCATTCAGTGTCTTATCAAATTTGCCTTTGTTGAAAATAAATATTGGTTTTCGGTCTCTTAGGTTGCAGCCAACGCACTGAATATAAGCACAGGACTTACTTTCAATTTCAGGCGCCATCTTGGTTCAGTAAAAGCCGGCCACTTGCGAAAGGTTGATTGTAGGCAAGGAATCGATTATGAAGTAATAAGCATTTATTTTTTTCGGAAGGTGTTTCAGCGGAAAACATTTTCTACAAGTTTTTCAACAGAAAACATTGAAGATTATGTAACAACTGACTGAATAATACAGCGAATATTGTACGATTTAATTAACAAGGGTGATGTAAAAGAATTGAAAAGTACTGAGTAATCCAGTGCAGTGACTGTATTACTTTTCGCATTCGTCAGTCCGTTATTTTGTTTTTGTAATCTATACAAATTTGTTTCCGTGATGAGCGTAGATAGCAATTTATTTCACCAAATACGTCTGATCGTTCTAGCAATTTGAAGGATGCCAACAACGAGCTAATTTCGCTCTCTCGGTTTATTGCTCTTTACAAAACGACAGTCACCTCACAGTACTCAGTGTTGCACAATGTTGTATCCTTTAACCATAAGATCTGGTTACGACCATACATAGATTCGGTTGGTCTTGATTTATTGCGAAGACAAAACAACCTCCTACGCATCAAACACAAATTTGCTGTCTTAGTAACTCTAACCATTTTCCGACGAACTCACTCGCAGTGTTAGTTAGGAAATGCATCGTAATAAAACATTTCCAAATCCACATGACAAATTTCCTATCAAACCAGAGCAGCCTACTTGTGCCGCACATTTAGAAAAATAGGAAATGCTTTGTTCATCTTCCAACTTAAAGCTAGTGAAGCAGGGATTTTAATTACTTCGTAGCTATTTAATTCGCTAATGCGAAATATTTTTCAAATCCATTTGGAATTGTCACAGTTTTAATTTGCAGCTACAATCTTTATAGTTTGAAATCCAATATTTTCGAGTTATCTAAACTAAAAACATTATGATAGCATATATATATATATATATTTGCCCTGATATAAATGATTTAAAGAGTTAGACTCCATGTTTATTATTCTTCCTCGGGCATAGTCCAACAAGGCGGAAATAACTATGAAAGAAAACCCACAACTTTCGTGCGAGTGATTTTTAGACATCGATTCGAACATAAATGAAAGTCTTGAAACTCATGATGTTCAGTCCAAGTTAACTTGTGAAATACAACGGAAGTAAATAAAAATTAAAAATGTTGCTTCTTATACGCTACAGCCGTGGAAGGTTAATCAAAGTTCTCGCTCGCGATGCGATTGTCTTCATTCAGTATGGAATACAGTTGAAATTACAACTGATTTTATTTACAGCGTGTGTCCATAGTTAATCGAGGGGACACACGATTAACTATGGTGTGTCTAAGGGTTGAAAACATGAATCGACCGACAGTAATTACTCTTTGAGGTTCGACGATTACGGATTAGTTCAATCGATTTGTACCCGGAGCTGTTGCGTCAACAATCGATCGTTTGTGGCTAATCATGTTTTTCTTCATGACATACATTTTGTATTTGTCATGCCCTCCATTGTAGGATCATAATCACAAAAACAATTTGTCTTTGTGGTGTGAAACATATTGAGTCGTATGAAACCGCTATGTTTTTTGCGAAATTATGAAATTGCATTGTTTGCGAATGTTACTTCCTCCAAAGAAATCTATGCAAAAATTTGTGGCAACATTATAGAACACAAGACACATTATCTCCACTTACCAGGTAATGCATCAGCCTTTCCAAGTCTAATACAGTGTATAACCCTGCTTCAGCTTCTTTCACAGAAATACAGTGTTTCGACAAAGTAAGATTTCTCAGAAACCAATATCTCAAATCTTCTAGGGAAGTCTTGCGAAACCACAAGATTCTGAGAAAAAATCATCTTGTTTAGTAATTCATTTTTTCTCGGAAAAGTGACGTGGAAAAATAGGAATGGACTCTGGAGTCAGAGACTTTGGACGATGGAATGCCTTCCTCGTGGTGAACATGATTTGCTTGTTTAGGCCCTAACAGAGAGTTAGAGTATTAGTTCACTGTATTTCCTTTGCTGTAATTATCGAGAGCCATGTTTGTTTTTGTTGAATTTAGGAGGAATAATGATGGCGAAATCAGAATAACGTAGGTCTACACGTTACAGTTTGTAGTCTATGGAAAGCCGATCACACGGCAAAATACCGTGATATTTAACACAATACACACCGTATTTGTGCGCGATTCTCGCAGTAAAGAGCACTATTTAAGCAATAACGAAAATCAGACCTGAAAAAATTCAGGCCTGTACGGGATTCGAACCACTGACCTCTGCGATACTAGTGCAGCGCTCTACCAAAAAACACCGTCTACACTTGCGCGTGGATGGAGCATCCCCGCCCTCTATACTCGATGTTACTGCCCAAACCTCGTTTCTCAAAACGGTTGTGTTTTGACAGAACAAAGGTAATGGGATGCATTGCATCAAACATTACATCAGTGTTTTTATAGTCAACGAAACCGACGCATCCTAGAAAACGTTATTAATTTAAAATGAATAACTGATTTTGGATACTCGGATGTAATGATAGTGGAAGTAAATATTTGTTGTTCTTGAGGAGCACAAGACCCAATACTAAGTTTTTGGAGCATCACATTATGGATTACAAAATCGAGGTCTGAGTGATCTGCCGAAGGCGAAGACTGAGGCAGATGACACAGATACGAGGTTTGATAATTCATGATAGCATGCAAAAACCGAATTCAGTAATTGTTTTATTATATATTTTTTAAACAATCAGCGAAAGTTTTAGTTTGCAAAGATTTGAGATCTTTTCGAAGGAGGGGCTTAGAAACTAGGCAGACTTGCTCTCAACATGATGAAGGTAATATCCGCAGGAGATTTATACGTTATTCACCAGCCTAGGTCGGTCAGTATTGGGAAAAACTGTGCGCGAGGCCTCGAGTAACGCCTGAGGCCGTACTCGAGACAGAGGGTACAGTTTTTCGCAATACGGACTGACCCAGGCTGATGAATAACATTTTTATTTTTTTTCTAAAACTTAAATGGTACTTAAATCAGAGGTAATACAAATTGAAGAAAGGGGTCTCACCGAAACATTTTTATTTGCGTAGTAATAGAGGTGAGTAAAACACTTCCAAACAAAACTCTGAAATATATTTTTTTTCAATTATCTGTCACGATCTGACAATCAAAAAGCGCGTATTAAGAATATAAAGCGCATGTACACTTAGAAAAAAAAACAAAAAACAACGGTACCGGTTGGGTAAACAAACTCAAGTTCAATGATGGTCAAGACAATTGTTTTTTCTCCAAAAATAGTAAAATATCTTACGGAAAATATTTTTCACTTCCATCGATGATTAATGTGCGAAGAATACCTCTGTGGAAATAAAAACAGCCTAGGTAATGATTGTTGGGGCCCAGAGGATAGGGGAACTATGAGGCAATTCCAAGGAATTATTTATAATAATAAAAAAAGAACAGCTTGCAAGGACAAAGACCAACCGACCCATGATGACCTTAATCTCCCGCCAAACCCCTAAATATACACAGAACATCCCATGAAAATCCCGGCCCTCTCAATAGTATAGTAGTCAGAATATGAATTTTACATTAATTCATCGTCAAAAATTGCATATGCTCAGCTAACAATTAAATTTTCGCCTATACTCGCATATCTGGTAAATTAGACCTCTTTCACGACTTCGCTCGTAGAGTCTTTGATTAATTAGTCATAATTGCTACAGCGAGAAAAAAAAAAAACAGGCCCGTGGGCCGTACCGTAAACAGGATCGGTCAAGAGCGCGTGATTAGCCAATCAAATTCGAGGATTTATGACTCTTGCTCGCTCAGATACTTGAGAAAAAATAAATTTCATTTATCATTTCAACTTCGAATACTATCTTATATTGATTGAATGCCCTCGACCAATCAGATTTTTCATAGTAAGTCTAATGTATAAAAATATCTTCTTGTCTGGAAAAAGAGGCCAAAGGTAATTCTGAAAGGTGGAGGCGGTGTGGCCGAGTGGTTAGGGTGCTGGACTTGTAATTTGGTGTCCCCGGGTTCAAGTCCTCCACCCTGCCACTCACTGGATTTGTTCTTGGTTGCCCCTGGTTCAACTCCTCGGCTGCGCTCTGTAAAATAGCCCACTGGTCAGCCTCCTGCCAGTGGGGATTTTCAAGCATTTAGTCTACATAGTGGCTGGAAAGCCCCTATGGAGGAGCTTCAATTAACGTATATTATTATATAATTGTTATTATTATTATAAATGGTCTATTCTTGGCGATTTTTGTTTTCATTATGCAATAACTACAGGCATCATTTTATTTGACACGAAGAACTCGTCGTGAAACGAAACATTGAGTCAGGCATTTAGTTTGTTCAGGAGTTCTGAGTAGTTAACAAGAGGTGTCTATGGAGTGCCATTACCGCCAATATTCAGCTACTGTTTTTTTTTATAAAATGGTGCTTAAGGTATCAAGCCAATTACGTTTTATGTAGCTAATCATTTTATAAAATGGTGCCTTAAAAAATATGGAGCGCTTTTTATGAAGCTAATTATGTTTTATGCTGCATAAAAAGGCTTCATGAAAAGCGCTCCATATTTTTTAAGGCACTATTTTATAAAATGATTAGCTGCATAAAACATAATTGGCTTCATATCTTAAGCACCATTTTATAAAAAAAAACAGGAACTGAATATTGGCGGTAATGGCACCCCATAGGTGTCATCCGCTTGCCGTTTAATAGATTGTGTTGATGAGGTTTGCTTGTGAGTTTGTGACGTAGATTTTCACTCCGACAAACTGTTAAGCCGGTTGACTGAACAAACAACGAAGGGAAACTGAAATCGAAGCACCCGCGTGGCGAATGGAAGGCAGAGATCTGACACTAATATTTTGGCACTAGGGATTTACTTTGGACAAACTTAGAAAAAGTTCAAGAGATGCCCTCACTTTCCTTCAATGCCTCACAATAACTTCCGAATGTGCTTCGAAATTACAGGCTCATTCGAACATTACAACAACTAAGCAAATAATGACCCTTACACCGGAGAACGCTTTACTGAAAATAAATGACAACCTCTACATATCACGTGTCTTAGTTGTCATTCGAAAGTTCTCGACAGTTTGGCAAAAAGATGTGAATAAGATTTTCTGCCACAACAACAAAATTTCTCTTTGTCATCAGATTCCACTTATATTAACCGTCGAAACTTGATAAATTAAGAAAAACCTACACTGACACGGTCTATTTGACGTACTCTATCAGGGGCGTATCCAGCACTTTTTACTTGTATTTTTCAGTGATCTGAGAGCGTACAAACCTACTTCTTTAACACATAACGCAATTTATTCTTGCTGCTTCTTTGTCATTTAAGAACTCGAAAGTATGTCTAAAGAAGTCAAACTTTTGTTAAAAACTTTGCAAGAGTCGTATTATAAAAGTCAAGGGGGAGGGAAGGAAAACTGTAAGCCGGGGCCTACGAGCCTGTTGACTGGTTACGCCCCTGCCCATTACTGTAAATGCAATTTATGGTGATGGAATACTTGTGACATGTAATTGACCAACCTTTATAATACTGCGAGTTCCAATTGTAAAAACTTACTTTGGTAGAACAAGTTTTGAAAGAATTACTCTGCAGATGATGATCTTGAATTTGGTCCAAGGTGACTACAGCCAGGGTGTCTACTGATCTCAGTAGCATGAATAGAAGTACCATTGTTCTCTTTAAACTATACTAGGTTTGCTCCCCATTCTCTTAAGTGAAGACTCTATTACGTTAAAGAACCTCTCATGTAACACTGTTACAGTTTTTCATGAGAGATAAGCCGGTAAGTGCCATACTGAATGCCTCGGTGTTCGTAAATGTAGACATAACCCATCGTACTAGACTGAATTCTGATTGAAATACAGTTTTAATGCTTCATAGTTCAAAAGCTCAGTTAAAAGTTTTGCTTTTGTTATTTTCTGCGATCTCGGTGTTCGTAAACGTAGACGTAGCCCATCGTACGAGAATAAATTCTGATTAAAATATAGTTGTAATGCTTCACAGTTCAAAAGCTCAGTTAAAAGGTATCCTTTTGTTATTTTCTGCGATCTACACAATCATCATCCAATCCAATATTACGACATATTGCATTAGGCCGATATTACCCTGGAAACAGCAAATAATTGTCTACGTATTAGTCAGTGCCTCGGTGGTGCCATCGCACCTGGTTCGAAAAACCATTTTTAATGCTGAACTTTCATATTTGACCAGAGAAGGTCTCGCCTTTGCTTTTCTCAGTTATTCTGCGGTGAGCTGAAGGAATGGGTTGAAGCGGAAGACCACTTACATTTCCATCTCGACCTTGCGTCGACGAGCTGTCACTCTTTTCGTCCTTTCTTTGTTCGGTTCGTTCAGGGCTAGGTTGGTCACTCACCATTGCACGATGTGGCAAGCCTGATTTCAGTTTTGCTGAACTTTGTTTTTTCGGATTTTAACTGTCTTCATGGTGAACTTCCCCACACTTAGTGCATCCTTTCCCTCCCACCAAAATGTCTTGGCCACCGCGCACAATCCATGTCTTGTAGTACACGTGACCCTGGGTACACATATTCCAAACGTCTCTTTGATATCCCGGAAAATTTGCGAAGTCTGGTGGTTCCTCGATCTTTAGTGAAGGAAGATTCAACTCTGTTCTCAGCGCGTTGACGATCTTCTCAAGCCATTCAGTATCTAAAGCGTGGTCTTCACCCTGGAGGAACAATGCAAACCTATCACAAGTAAACTTCAGCCGAGTCCTACCCATATCGGACAAAGGAATTTGACTCAGCTTAGCCTCACTTTGAGCCTCTAAAACATGAGAGAAGAGGAAGAACTTTCTTGTTTGTAGATGAACTTGACTTAGGGTTTTCAAGTCCAATTGCGGTTTCTCGAGATATTCTTTGATCTCTCCCAAGGCGTCTTCGATACTTTTTGGCAGGTCACCTTTTTCCTCTTTCTTTTCTTCTTGCCCTTGCATTCTTTCCTTACGCCTTCGAACTTTCAATACCCTCTGTGTATGCTGCACTTGCTCGAGTATCATCAAATGGTTTCTAAATATAAACTTTAACGAAACAAGGCACTCAGGTTTTCCTCGCAAAGTTGAAGGATTCCATTTCCATGGAATAACCTGTGTAATATCTTTCTTTAGTTGTCTAGTTGACTCGTCTACTTCAGCTTCGACCACTCCTATTTGTCTCTTTACACTTTCAACATCTGCAAGTGTTTTTTTGATAATTCTCCCGTAACGGTAGCTGAATGTTATTACCACTGTACATTTCGGGCATCTTATGACTTGAATGTCATTACCAAGGTGATTTTGTATCCAAGCGTCCATCTCTTTAACCTCCACAATGTGATTACAGTCCCACAGCTGCAGATATCTTGCGGATTCCGTTTTATTACTGCTTCCACCAGCTAACAAAGCAGTGAGCTTTTTGGGGTGACAAATAGGACAGACTGTGGGACAGTTTTCTCCACACAAACCAATACATGGATGGCTGCAGGAGAGTTTTTTTGGGCAAGGAGCATCACAGCGAGGCCGCTCGCATTCTTCCCAACAAAGACTGTTGCACTGGTGATGAGGACACATCCAGGTACACGGTTTATTGCAGGGCATACACAGCTGCGAACAGCGGCTTTTACAAGTAGTATGAGGGCATCGTCGACCACATTTTCTATCACAGGGGGGACACGGCACACCGCATTTTGCTTTACATCGATGTGAACAGACAAGTAATCGACCACATGGATGCAGGCACATTTCATGCGAACTCCTTTGGAGACACTCGCTACATGTCCCTGTACACTGGTGACCACAGGGTAAATCTTCTTTACAAGGAGCAGGGCAATCTAGATCAGCTGTAGACTGACTACAGGACATCTTTACTCTATGTCCACATGATAGAGCTTTCACCACAGCCACCTCGCACGGAAACGTGGAGCAGTCTTGACCACAAACGCCTTGACAAATATGATTGCATGGACTCTTTCGACGCGGACAGGGTGCTGTGCAGGTAGCTGTTTTACTCTCATGGCAGTTAATTGTTTCTTTGTGATTGCAAGGGAATCGTTTTTCGACTTTTCTCATACATTGCAGGCTTCCACAGTCTTGATTGCAAAGCCCAGGGCATGGGTGGCCGCAATCCAGAGTCTTTGTACATTGCTTTTGGCATTTTACACTTTTGGGGTTGCCGCTACAGGCCATTTTCTTTGAATGGCTACCTGCGCAATGGAGCGGTTTGAGTATCTTCTTTTGGCATTTGTGTCGACTGCAGTCTTCAGAACATTTCCCAGGACATTTATGTCCGCAAGTAAGATTCCGTGTGCACTCACCTGTACATACATCTTGGGACACATCGTAAGCACATGGGCAATTTATTTCATGAAATCCGCAGTGTAGAGGTTTTTGAACTGTGACAGCACATTTGAAGCTGGAGCAGTCCTCGCCACACTTTCCTGGACAAGGATGTTTGCATGGAAGAAGTCGGCCACAAGCAGCATCACAAAATGCCTCTTTTGGTTGATCTGAACACTTCATTTTCTTATTGTGTCCACAGGATAGTTTTCTCGTAACCACTGTATCACACAACTCGTTTTGCGATTCATTTATAGCTTTGGCACACGTTACCTGTTTCTTATGGGAACACGAAAGAGTAATTTCAACTTCCTTCTCACAAACATACTCTTCAGGTTTTATATGGCACGGAAGCTTTGCGTTGTGCTCGCAGGGTAACTTTCGTTCTATCTTCACCATGCAGGAAACGTCTTGCAATTTGCCGGTTGCAATGTAGCAGATAAGAGACTTAACATGTCCACACGACAATTCCGCTTTCACTTTCTCTTTGCACACGTACTCGTCGGGATTTTTGTGACAAGGAAGCTCTTTTTTGTGTTTGCAGCGTAATTCTCTCTCTACTATCTCGTTACACAAAACATTCTCTTTACCACCCATGGCAACGTAGCAAAGCAAGGACGTCTTGTGTCCACAGGACAGTATAACCTCTACCCTTTTCTTGCATGGCTGGTTTTCACATTCTGCACTGCAAGTGTTCAAACAGGGATGTCCGCAGGCTCTTAGCTTTTCACATCGCCGTTTACATTTAATACTAGCTGGATCTAGGTGACATGGTATCTCTATGTTATGTCCACACCCGGGAATTGTCTCGTTGACCAGTTCAAAGCAATTCCCACAAGAATTACCGAGGTGGCACCTTTTATGGCAAACGTGACCCTTCTCACACTTCTTTAGGCACAACTCTTGGCACCGAACTTCTTGACAGGGTTGGGCGCAAACAGATGAACATCTATGTCCACAATCCAGTCTTCTTTCACAGGATACGAGGCAGAAAGCCGTTTTAGGGTCCTGTGAGCAAGGAAGGTCTTTTTGGTGGCCGCACGGAAGGGACTTGGTAACGATTGTTTCACAGTGACTATAACGAATGGGATCTTCAGAGCATGGCATCAATTTTTCGTGGTCACAAGGGAGCGTTTTCATGCAACGAATCATACAATGTCGTGTACATTTGTTTCCACACAATTCCTGGCAGTTATGGCCACACAAGAGGATTCTCTCACACCTTGCTTGACAAGAGAACTCTTCTGCATCAATATAGCAGAGGACGTTTTGCTGGTGACCACATCGAGGAATTGTCTTCAACATAATGATACGGCACTTGAAACATTTTCGTGGATGATGACACCTTTCTTGACACTGGTGTTCGTTCGGGCATGATATGAGGCAAATTTTCTTGCATGGACTTATTTCATGGTGAAGGTCCGAAGCATGACACGGTATGTCACAGGCATGACCACATTTCAGTCGGTAAACACAGGGCATTCTGCAACCTCCATAAATGTCAAAGTCACTTGCACAAAATACATTGGTCTCATTTTTGTGCCCCTTACAAACAATTGACAGTGACTTACTGATGGCATTCTTTTTTTGAAGATGATCACATATCTCCTTCCAAAGCTTACAGTGGGATTTCAACAGGCTAAAATTTCCAATGCAATAAAATCCTTTTCGGGCTCTTGACAGTGCCACGCAGATTCTGTTTGAGTCGCCAAGGAAACCAATCTTACCGTCTGAGTTGCTCCTCACCAGTGACAGAAGAATGATGTCATTTTCCTCACCTTGAAAGTTGTCTACTACACAGACCCTAACTCCTCCAAAGGTTTTTCTGGGCATAAATTCTTGAAGAAGTAACAACTGACCAGTATACATGGTTAAAATTGTAATTTGGCTTGGCTGATAGCCGTGAAGTAGAAGGTAATGGCAGAGAGCCACTATAAATCTAGCTTCGTGGAGGTTGGAGTAACTCTGCAGCCCAGCTTCCGGTTTCTCAAACTCACAATGATCAATAAAGAATAGGTTACATGCTACACCTGCAATGTCTTCGAACTCACATACTGACTCGTGGTCAACAATTTCGTGATCGTAGATTCTCTTTGTTAGTTCTGCAATCTCAGGACGCATACGATGTTGAATAGACAGACGCTTGCAATCCATACTGTTCATGACCATTCTCTCGAAAAGTGATATCTCCAGATTGTATTTTTGGGCTAGTTCATAAACTGTTGCTTTTGGACGAAGTTGCTTATGGTCTCCTATAAGAATCGTATGCTTTGTGTTGTGTGACAGAGAAGTGATTATGTGCGCTTCCATTACTTCGGCTGCCTCTTCGATGACAACGATTTTGGGGGCAACTCTTTGCAGCACTGTGTGATACCGTGCTGCACAGCTAGTTGTCATACCAACAACTGTTGCTCGACGTATCACCTCTTCCTCTTCTTCAAACCTGACTGCCTCTAGTTGCTGGCAAATTTGTTCATACTCCTGTTCGCATCTGTTTATTTCTACGCTGTAGCGTTCACGGTAGCTCTCCACCCAGAAGAGGTACAGTCGAAGTCGATCTGAGGGGGATAACAGCCAAATGTTCTCAACACCAATCGCTTCATCGCTGGACATCGCAGATACTTTGACCAGATCCGTTATTGATCTTACGTCTGCTTTGATGACAATTTTTTGGTTTTTCTTTTTTTTCTTCTTGTTTTTTTTCTTTGAGGGCTTTGCCTGGGTCGTATCGTCTGCATTCAAAGTGGTCGATAAATCAGTGTCTCCTATTTTGTCTTCAGTGTGCTTAACTGTTATTTGTTTCCATGGAAAGATTGTTCCTTTTTTCCTGTAGCTCACTAACTCCCATTCCTCTTCCTGGTCTCGAATTATTTCTACGTCTTCTCTCAGAATTCTTTCGTCATCTGCTCTTTTCGAGATTACTGGAAGAAAGTCTTCATCTCCATGTATGAATCTTTGATGGTAAATTAAATCAGCCTCATTTTCTACTGTAATCGTCTCCTCTCTCGCGTCTGTTATTTCTTCAAAATGTTCTTTATTGTCATGTTCTTTATTATTATTCTTTATCTCTGTCAGAATTTGAGAATTCTCGATATGTGGGATTTCTTCCTCAACTGATTTCTCATGTGCGTCAGGGGCTGGCATTTGCTCTAAATTATGAGAAAGTGGAAAAGCCCCTGATCCAGCCAACTCGCTTTTATGTTGACTTGAGAGACCTTTTGGTACAGTTTCGTCATGAGGTGTTTTAGTTAAATCTTCTTGCGCTGACTTTAAGTCTTTCTTAGCATTGAGGTAAGTCTTTGGGACTTGTGATTCATCTGCATCTGAAAAAGGGTCACTCGATGGAGTGTCTTTGGGAATGGCTTCCCACGGTCCTTTCTCACTTGCGAGGTGATTATTTCTGTTTCTCTCGTTGGTATCGAGTGTTGACAAAAACCTAGCTTCATAAGGTGCGTTATCATCTTTTTCTCTCTCGTTGTCTTGGGAAACTGATATAGCCGTGCTGTTTTCCCCTTGACTGTGATCAATCTTTGATTTTTGGTTGCAGGAGTTCATCTGCTTGTTACTGCATAACCAAAGTTTAAAAGTGTTGCTTGGAGTTCGACATTCACTTGCAGCACTGTGGGGGAAACTGGCACTATATAGTTGTTCGGTATGTTCTGCGTTCAGCAATTCCTCTAAGTCGTCAAATCCCAAAAGCACAGTGTCTGCTTTTGCGAGTAAATCCCTCAACCGGAACGTTTCTCTACTCTTCCCGTTTCGCGTTTCTTCGATCTCATTTCGTCTTTCATTCATTCTATATTTGCGGGTAAATAACTTCAGGTTACATTCCAGTAGTTGTTGACTTTGGCATCTTCCTCCGACACGAATGATTTTCTCTTTAGGGAGAAATTCCAGTACCTTTTCCAGGAACTGATCTAAAGCATGATTTGTATAACAAACCATGAGCATTGGTGAAGTTCTTCCCGGATGCCAGGCCTTTCGATTCTCAAGTAAACATCGAACGATTCTCGCTCCAACATATGTCTTCCCTGTCCCCGGCGGGCCCTGAATTACTGAAAATTCAGTTGTAAGTGCTGTTTTCAAGGCTTCGAGTTGCGAGTTGTTAAGGGGAAGTAGGTCAACAGAAGGCCAGGCCTCAGGCTTCAGAACAGGCACTGCATAGACGTTAGCTGCTCTCGGTGCATCTAAAGCCCGACTAAGATCATAACATACAGGTTCTTCAGTATCCTCACGTTTGAGGTACTCTGGTGGATCAACAACTTCACTACATTCAACGAGGTACTTCTTGAAGGGCAAAGTGGCTTCATCCAACTCCTTCAATCCCCTAAGAACATGATGATAAGCTTCGTAGTAAGCGGGTGACTCAATCATTTGGTATTGGCATTTCTGGTTTTCGATCCCGAAGACATCTTGTTCCTCTATAAAGCAAATGTCAATTTTCCCTATGATCAGCTCATTTGGATCTCGGTTACATACCGTGGCGAAAAGCATAGTCTCAAAATTATCTTTCGAAAGACATAAGAATGAGCCGAAGATGAGTCGTTTTGAGCGTGCCCACTTGCTGGTATCGAACCTGGAGGTATCAAATTGTACTTTGTAGGTTATTCCAGAGGGTGTTAGAGTCTTGCCGACGATTCGTGCGCCCGGATAATACCTCATTAACTGTTTGCGCTGTCGTTTTGGTACATTCTGGACAATTTCGGGGATACCCTCTCTAAGTGGCTCGAGGAAATCTTCCCTGAGTAGTCGAAATTGCACATCAAGGTAGTGCTCGGCATCGTCATACCTCCCCTTAGTGATATTCTTCCGCAGGAAGGGTCGTTCTTGAGTTCTGATTTCTTTGCCGGTAGGACAAACTGGTATGTCTCTGAAATCGTTCGGTGGCTTTTGCCCTGCCTTGTTAATGTAGCGCTTTCCATGCTTTTGTCTCTCGGCTCTTATTATGTCGTCTCTAGCACGCTTAAAAGCCTGCAAATCGTTTTGGAGCTCATCTTTTCCATCGATGTTGGACTGTTCCAAAGCTTGTTTTAACTGATCGTAGGGCAGATCAGCATAGGAACTTGGCAAGTGTCTCAGATACTTCACGAATACTGCGATTAGCCACTGAATGAGTCGTTTTCGGGATTCTTGATCCTGAAGGGTTGTTGACCCCTGTATGTGATCTAAAAAACGTGGAATCTTGGAGCTTAAGAAGACTGAGCCTTTAAGGGAGGATAGAATCTTGTTTGTTTTCTCACTTGGTGGTGCGCTGCAAGCATTTGCTAATACGCAGGTGAGATCCATAATGAACTCAGCACTGTTGTGCTCGTCCTCTTCAGATATTAGAAAGTATTTGAGATGAGCCATATTCTCATTTAAGACGCTGACCACTTCAGTGTAATCCATGTCCTTTAGTGGTTTCAGCTCTAGGGAATGAAATTGTCCAGGAAACTTACCACGGATATAGTGTTGTGCCCTAAGCTTTTGGTCTCTTCTCACAGGGGTTACTCTTCGTGGTCGTTGTGCTTTGATCATCTCTGTTTGGTAAGAAGTCGGAATTTAAAAGAATTATGTTAGCAAGTTAAGGTATCAGTTATCCTATCTTATGCAAAGCAGGTGGGAGGGGTGACGAGTTTTTAAAGAGCGAAAGTTAAAACACTGACGAATTTGGTGCTGTGAAACATCGATTTTACGAGCATCACATGAATCATGAGTCCACTTGCTCGAGGCATCACGTTATGATAACATTTATACATAACTCTCTATTCCCCAACTTACCTTGATTAGCTCCTTTTCCACTAGACGGTCCTTCATTCTTACTCTCCCAAGGTTTTGATCTGTTCCACCCTCTGTGAGCTCGTCCGAAGTTCCTGAGGTTGCCATCTAAAATCCATCGATTACAATCAGTTGAAACTTAAAGAATTACAGCGGACTGCATAGGGCAACCTGAGAAGGAAAATCTATCGGCTCATATTTAAACATTTTTTCGCAGCCATCGGTCAAAGCAAGTAATAATAATAACAATGTGAAAAAATTACAACTCCGAAAATGAAACAAATAATTAAATCAATGAAACACCAACAAACACATAGCAATACAAATAATGAGTTTCAACCGAGCTGGTCGAATACATCTACCTAAAATCGTAACTACCATCCGTTTACCTGGCATTTCATCAGCGGTTGTTCCACATGCACCTGCCCTTTGTTCAGAGGGGTGAGCTCCTTGTGTTCTAGGTAAGGATGGTCTTTGTTCTGTTTTGTCTGAATCTAAAGATGTAAAGAAGTTAAACTGATATAAATGGAAAAGTTTCACCTTGTTATGGCTACTAGTAAAGGTCTTTAGGTATTATACAAAACAAAAATGTAAAATGTGAGAAATATGTATGGAATAACACGCACGCCACTAAAACAATCAAGATTGTAATACGTATAATTATATCCATTTGCTGAATCCTTTTCCCGTTTTTTTGTCATTCATTGCAGTACTGCTGTATATTGATTTAGCTGTGATTCAAATTTCAGTTCTTTGCCACCTGTCACTAATTCATTTGCTAGTGGAATGAAAATGGTTCCAGGAGTGAATGCAGGGTTTGCCTCTGCTTTTCTAAAGGCTACAGCGCTCATGTAGTGTGTTCCCTAAGCCAAATGAAAAAAATCCCATCTACAAATTCTCTGAATTTTATCCGTGTATGCCAAGACACCTTGTAAATAACAAAGCTACTCAACTAGAACGAGCTTGAACCGAAATTTTTATCCACAAGATGTGGAATCTGGTGACGACTAGTCTACACCGCAATGTTATTAACCTGCGGTGTGCGTTCGGCACATGCGCAGAAACAGTTAAAAAACATGTGCTCGAGTGCATGAGAGAACCGCCATGTCGAAACTTGTACTCGCTACGTACTCGTTGTGTTGTTTTACTAAGCGTGGCCGCCCCGTTTTATTCTGTCACTGTTAGAAGTTTCTGATTAAGTATTCGTTGATTAAAGTCGATTAATTCAGTCTTGTGGTTTACACACAAGATGTCCATTTGAAGATGTGGTGAGAGAGTCATGCGTTCAGTTACCTTTGGAATCTTTCTCCCTCCTTCCTCTCTTCCAAGGCATGGTGCCTAAGGAGAAAGATTAGCGATTTGAACTTGAAAATATAAGAAATTCTTGATCTTAGGAGAGATCGTGGTTACCTAAAAAAGTCAATCTATTTAGAAAGCATGTCGGATTTAAGTTGTGCATTTACTGTAAAACCTTTTGCAAAATAGCGTGGGTTACAATTATAAGAATATAATAATATTATTCAATTGGTCTGAATGAACACATGGAAGTGAATCAGTTAAAAATACTCGACCATATGGAATAGATTGGATCTTGAGAACTTAATTAACTGCACTTTTTCAAATTCTTAAATGTTTTATGGGATTACAATAACTTGGATCTGTTCGTTCGTGAATACCACTCGGGGATTTCCCTCGTTTAATACTTCCAATGAATTTGATCTGAGTGAATTTATCCATGATAATTGCAGCCCAATCAGTTTAAAATCCACGTTAAATGTCATAGGTTTGTTTGTCGATCTCTTCTCACAGATTAACCATAAAATTTGAGAAACAGATTTCTTAAAGAGAATATAGAAAGTTCAAAGTTCCTCAGAAATTCTGAGAAACAGAGCACTGACCTACATTCACTGACAGTTTTTTACCAATGTTCTGTGATTAAACAACGGTCTCAATTCCAGTTTTTCGATGAATTTTCATTTGGTGCTTGGTTAAGCACCATAGACCTTTTCGCCTCAGTTCTTTAGAGATGCAGCTTCGACAGTTATATTAGTTTCTCTGAAATGTGACCCATGATATCTCAGGAGCCCAAATGATAGAAGTTTTTGGAACTGGATGTGCTAGCACTGCTTTTAGGTGATCCACTGCACATATTCGATGGCACTATAAGATTTAGACGGCTTAGGTGGCAAGGCGTATAAACAAACATTCTGCGTTTTCAAAGTTCATTGGAAAATCGTGTGCTGAGAAAAGCACTCCACTAAAGCGTGATGACAGTGGGGTAGCATTACTAAGATCTGTTTAAACACAGGCGGAAATACAGAGTAAAATACTCACTTTGTAATCGAAAGTCACAAGAGCACCTTTAATTTATGTTCTGATTAGTGACATATTCAATAGCAAACCAATTATGCAACAGAACTTGAGTAAATTAGAATGTAAGAAACAATAAAAGGACAACAGATTATGTCTAAAAAAATAATGCAGTATGTCGATTTAGAATGACTAGCATTTACTGCAGCTGATCAGTTGTATAAGCAAACTTATTTAACTTAGCAGTAGATGAATGGGCAAGTTGACGACACTCGCAAAATTTCGAACTGGAATACGTCCGATTGATCGAGAATTATGTGTATTCATTTGATGAAAATTTTAAGGATATCTATGATCGGAAACTTTTCTCCTTTCCATAAGACAGACACAGTTGTTTTCCGGAATGCAAATTCGGAAGTTCTAAGCCAAACAGTGAAACCTGAAGAATTAAATTTGGTAATATTCCCTTACCTCGCCGATGTACGCTGCTAAAATCTGAAATTTAACTTCTGGGAACGACCGCTTTCATTTCCACTTGTTCAGATTCCTGTAAACTGAGAAATATCAAAGGTTTCCAGAACGGAACAGCCACGGAAACGTTTGCTTTTGCGGGTAATAACTTGGCTGCTTCAATGCTAGGAAAATCGTATGATCATAATGAGATTCATATCTTTCTGGGTAAAGCTACATGGAAGATTTGGAATGGACAATGGATCGTAATAGGAACGCACTCGTTTCACTTTTACGAGAACAAAAACAATTTATCAGTCAAAGTGTGATCAGAATGAATTAAACATATTTTCATCATTGAATCATTCCAAGCGAAAGAGAGAATTTAAACTAATATAAATGCTTTGAACAAAGCGATTTTATATTTGAGCTGAGTAATGGCCTCTATGAGGGAGTTAAAAAAAAGGCTGGACGACCGGATAGTAGTACTCCTTGTTCACAAATCCCTGTTATGGACCGGAGGCGTAGACCACGCGAAGGATTGGTCCACGAAAAAATTCATGTGTGTGTTATTTAGGTTAACTTGAGGATATATTTTGGTCTCACAAAACAGTTTAGCAAAGGTAGTGAACTGTTTCATTTCTGTAAGAAAAGACGGATAATTTGTATGGCTGTATCACCACCTCATCAAGAAATATGCTCATACACACTTGTTGTATAGCATGTAGTCCTGGATCCTTTTCTGTTTCACGAAGTTTGCTTTGTCTTCCACTCCGTGAATCCACAAAAAATATCTTCCAGTGTGATAAATCCGGTAGAGCCTTACCCAGACAGCTTTGGTAACATTGACCAATCACATCACGTTCTACATCGGTAACCATTCCTGCAAACACTTCCTCTTTTTCCGCGAAACGACAAACAACATGGTTGGCATACCTTGTTGTCGAGTTATTTCGCTTTCGAAATCGTAAATCTATGCTGATCTTTCCAAAAATTGTTGCTCTTCAACGGGAGATATAATTTGTACCACAGAAGGAATGTCTCGTGTCATGGATAGAGGTCGTTTTGGTGGAAGAGGAAGCCGTGGTGGTAGAGGAGGCAGAGGAAGAGGTACACCTCCAAACGCAGGAGAAGAAGGTAGGATCATAACTCGCTTTAAAGAGGAGAATTGCGTCTCATACTAGCCCAGTCTACATAATTATATCTTGTTCAGTAGATCTGAACTTTTGATTACGTGACAATAAATCCCTTTCGGGGCTTCTGTGGGTAATTGTTAAGAAATTTACTCCGCTAATCCTAAGCTATTCCCTTGATTCCTGATTACGATGTGTTTTGCCGATACCAACAAGAATGAATATTACACATGCTACATTCATCCTCGATTCAAATGATATGCGACAATTCGGAAGAGTTCTCAGTCATTCAAGGTCCTCCAGGCACAGGTAAAGTCAATTCCATCTCTACCACTCCAAAAAAAGAAAAAAGTAGATAGTGTCTTAACTTCTAAAAGCCTCAAAAGGGCCTGTATTGAGGCTTATTGAGCTGTATTGGCCAACGAAGCAACTTGATCACTAAAATATCCTTCTATAAACTATTAAAGAAGGGAAATTTTAGAACAACCTCACGCGTGTTTCCCTAAAACATGCTGGAGTTTTTAAAGCCGCAAGAATTGTTTAAACAATAATGGTGATTACAATGGTGATCTATTATTCTATAACTTTCCTTTTGAGTTACTTTAAAATACTTCAAACTCCTTCATCTGTCTTCGGGGAACTAGCACTGTGAAAGTGTGCCTCAGAGCAGCATGACATAGTGACCTCAGCCAAAGCTCACCAGCTGGTCACCCACCTGTCAAGGCGCTGATCAATAGCACATCTAGTAATTTTCTTCTATATTTAAGTTCTGTTTTTTCATCTTTTAATTGTTTCTTTACCCTGTTTCCTCTAGGTAAGACATACGTCGGTTTAAAGGTTGTGAGAGCACTTTTAGACAATAGGCATGCCTGGGACGAGGAGAAGAAGTCCACCATGTTGATGGTTTGTTACACAAACCACGCCCTGGACCAGTTTCTAGAAGGGGTACTAAAATTTCAACAAACGGGAGTGATAAGAGTTGGAGGTCGAAGTTCTTCAGAGTTACTTAAAGCCTACAACTTACAAGAACACACAAAGCCTTCCGACAGCAAGCGCTGGGTCAAGCAAGAAATGTTTAAATGTCAAGAGGCCATACAAAGAGNTGCCCTGACAGTGTATGGAAGCTTGCACACCGTGTAGGGTAAGTTTAAAATTACAGTAACTGTACGCAAACGTTTATGGAAAAACTCCTTCTTTTAGCTAAGGTGGCTGTGGTTGGTCCATGATGATGTTGAATTTTCCGTTAACTTTCAAGATAGTGAGCCCCCAACTAAAAGGCATTAACCACACAATTACTGGTTTTCCTCTAGTCGCTGCATCTTAACTGTTTTATGGAAAACATTACCATATCGTAGCATAACATGAAAATTATGGCTGGAACGAGTACACATTAGAATATCAACCCCATTGAACAAAGCCACAGGCTGCCTCAAAAGTAACCCTAACGTCATACAATTCGTTTCCACTGATTATGCTTGAAAGTGTTACCTTAAATAGTGGATTTCCTTGATTTTACGTCATGTGCTCTCATAAACAGAATAATCCTTGGTAGTTCTTTATCATTCTTTTAGGAACGCTGTATCTGGGTTTGTCCTCACTTCAAGTGCACGAAGCTTTGCGGTGAGAAATGCAACCGTCCTCGGTGTGACCAGCCATGTAGGAAGAATCTTAAATGTAGCCACCCGTGCATTGGTCTTTGTGGCGAACCTTGCCCGAAGATGTGCAGAATTTGCCATAAAGACGAAGTTACCCAGTTGTACTTTGGAACTGAAGGCGATAAAAATGCCAGATTCATTGAGTTGTTAGACTGTGAACACGTGTTACAGCCATGGATTATTGGATGGACAACGACAGCGAAAGTGACGATATTAAATTAAAGGAATGCCCCATATGCCAGACTCCCATCAGGATTAGCTACCGGTATGCTGACATCGTTAAAGAAAAGTTGGCTGATATCGAAAAGGTTAAGGCCCAGTTGAACCACGAAGAGAAAAATTATCAGCAGTTGACCGAAAAGTTGAAAAGAATAGCTTTTTCTATTAAGCAAAAGTATCCCGATATTCAGCAACAAAAATCTTCATCCTACAGAAAACAAAATGACGAGCCAACCCTCAACTCCTCGAGCTACGAGATTTTGATAGGTTGGCTGAAGCAAAGGAAAACAATGGCCGAGCTGATTACAATTAAGAACCAGATGAAAATAGTGATCCAAATATACAAGATAAGAGAAAGGATGAAGACGGACCTTTTGAAGAAGACTCGCTATGGAATACTTACACCACCCAGTGCAAGCCACAGTGATGATATGTTCTTACAAGCAGCAAGGGACATCGACGAAAGCCTTAACCATTTAGAAGAAGATCTAATGAAGTTTCAAGTCTCCTACCAGAGGCTGAGTGATATACGGGATGAAGCCATATGTGTGAGTTTCTCGCTCAACGTTCGAGTGACATTGTGTGAAATCAAAGAGCATTCCATTGCTCTCGCATCTGACCAAGAAGAGGGGCTGAAGACACTGGGTAGGCAGCTGGACGCTGGCCAGAAGCTTAGGAAAGAAGCTTTTGATCAAATTGAGGATACAATAAACGAGATTCGAGAAGAATGTGGTTTGGAAAGTCTGACTCCAATAGAGCGAATTGCAATTTCCAGGCCAATGAATTTCTCCCAAGGACTGTGGCACAGGTGTCCGAATGGACATCCCCATAACGTCATAGGCAAATGTCCAGAGTGCGGTGCAACTGTTGGAGACAGAAGTGGCCCACTTGCTCAAGAAAATTAGGTACGTCCTCTACAAATTTTATTTGGGTGAGAGTAGCTATATTGAGGTCATACTTTTGGCTGTTTTTAAAAATTGGATAATAACCAGACAAATGCCAACATTTCTTCAGATAGTAAAGGTGACTAAGAACGTTGATACGTTTTAAAGTTGAGCTTATTATCCAGACGAGAGAAGCTTGGACTCGAAATTGAAATGTGACAAAGCCATGTGAAGGATGGGTCACTGTCAGGATGTAGTTTGTAGAATTATTTTTAACTTAGACAGTGTTGCAATTGATTTTTTTCTATGTTTTACATTAGATGTATGCACAAAGGGTAATGTATTTTTTTTTTAATCTCATTTCAGATTGAATGACGCAATGTATACTGTCAAGTCCAACCAAAAAAACAAGCAGATTTATGGCAAAGAAGGGAAAAGATGTATACTGTTTGAAAAAAGAACATTTCTGGATCGGTTCCACAGGTTACCCTTCAAACAAAACGTTACATTTTTCGACGTTGAGACATTAACGAGGTGGTCCATTCAGTTTGCAAACTAAATCATGAAAATAATCCCCATATAAGTGGTCTTGCAATAGGATACCAAAACATGACTGAAAATCATAGTTCACCTGCAAGGTAGCCGTCCCTACTCATGCCCTTATAGGTGACTAGTGTGCGTCTGGCGGGCGCAAATTACCAAATAGCGCCTTTTTCTTTACGATCGAAGCTTGTCAGTACGGAATTAAATCCCAGTATTCGAGACGAGAGACGAGTGACTTTTCTTTTCTTCCCTTCTTTTAAATTGAACAACAGCTTTCTTCACGTTTGATTAATGTAGAGAAACTTCAAAAGCAGAATGCTAAAAATCATCTGACACGTGTGATTTTGTGGATCGATATTTCACTACATATTTTACTGATATTCTTAGGAAACATTGGGTGTACACTGGATGTTAGCATGTTACTCTTCCTGAAAGGGCCGCCCAATTTATGTTATATGACGTTATTCAGTTTATTCATACTATGACCTAAGAGACAGAATCTTTCGACAACTTTTATCAAAATCGACAGATTAGTAAGTCCTTGAGTAGTTTTATGTTTTCATTTTTCGAACGATTCGAAGAGGTGGTTGAGTATTGTTTTTTCTATTCACTTTGGAAAGCAACTAAAATTGCATTCTCTCACCTTAAGATGAAATTAGAGGATCTCGATGTCGTATCAAGTCTCCAGTTTCAAACACGAGTTCAACTTAAAGAGGCTAGACCACTACCTGTTTTACTCAGTGTTTAAGAATAAAAGTTTCTTTTCTTGTTGCAAATTTGCATGAGGCATTTCGTCGTCATCTTTGGCAACTTTAATATCCAATTCCTCAGAACTCCATTCTGTAGGCAACGTATGGTTCCTGAGGAAAGCACTGAGGCACTGAGCTTTTTGGCCACAGCTTTGGGGTCTGAATTTCCCCCCTTGTTTAGAGTGGGTGGATTCAAACACTTACCGAGTAATACAGCGGAACAAATATGCAACCACCTTAGAATCGTTCAAGAAACGAAAATGTGATGTGATGGACTTTTGGAAAACTCGGCTACCTGTTCAGATGTGATCAAGTAGCCTTATCTAATTAAACGTTAATATACGTGCATTGTTTAATGATTGTTTCCTGGAAGTGAATTTCTCATAGACTTCGTCTTCTGCCGGACTGGTTTCCACTTTTATATGAGCACGTATTACTCAATTGTTTGGCTCTAAAAAAGCAGGGTGTCAAGCGTCCTATATATTCCTATAAAATCCTATAAAGTCCTATTTTTTCAGACTTGTCCTATAAACTCCTATAAATTGAGGTAAATCCTATATTTTCCTATATTTTAAGCCTTCTTGTAAAAAAAAAAGAATATTCAAGAAATGTAAAAGTTGTATTGGCGTTTAAAATCCACAATCCAGGAGATTTTTTGTCACAAATA